GTTTCTCTCCGCAAGCCCGATGCTTAAAAAGGAAAGAAAACTTGAGCCAATGGATTGGGATTCAGGGATATTCACGTGGCTCAAAGAACTGGGACTTCGCAACGTTCATCACAAGGCGTTGGGGACACTACAGTGTGTTCTCAGTGGTGTCCTCCCAGTCCTCCCCAGAGCCTCGGCGAGCAGCTTTTTCTTCTTCTACAGCTGCAAAATTCATTACTCAACTGCAGCCACCAACCCGGGTTGGTTTGGGCACCTGAGCTTGTTTGGTTGCTCCCGTTGCAGTGGACTCCAACCCATCTATGTGCACCATGAGCAAAGGCAAGGAGACCAGTGCGGATGAGCACACAAGAAAGGGTGGATCTGGTGTTTTTGCTCATCAGCCCTCGGAGCTGGGCAAGTGAAGCTCATCTGCGATCCACGGGATGAGACGTTTTGGTTCTTAAACAAAGAGAGGTCACCAAGAAGTCTTGACACATGGGGCTCCTTATCTTGCTGTGCCACGGCCTGGGGATGTGCAGATGGGCTGGAGAAGCTTGAGATGAAAAATGACAGCAACCAGCCTTAGGCGAGCACAGGCCAGATCAAGCAGAATGACACGAGAGCCTCTTCATCAGGTGCCACGGAAAGCAGAGGCTTCTCTCCTTGGCTGGGCTGAGACATAGCTGGAGGAGGTGGGGCTGCCTTTCAGAGCTCTGCCACTGCAACATCTTTTTTTCTCCTCAAGTGGATTGCAAGGTTTAAATGCTTCCCTTGCGCTAAGAAAATCAGACTAGAAAACCTCTCAACCGTACAAGTCTCCTTGAAGGAAAATAAAAGCACTGGCAGAGCCGTCAACCCAGAGGAGAACGTGTGGAAGCTCATCTCTGGAAACACGGTGGGGCAGATAGGGCTGGTGTCTTCCCAAAGTGTTCTGGAACAGAAGCTGGATGTCTCCTGACCCACCCAGCCAAGCAGGAGGGCACAGAGCAGAGGGGGCATCGATGATGAGCAAGAGAAGGGAGCCAGCAGCAGGACCAGCTCCCCTGAATTGCCTGCTGTGTCCCTGCTAATCCTGCAAAGCATCACGTGTGAGACAGGAGGGGGAAGCATCTTGGGGCCTCTCCGGAGTTCAAAATACTTATTTACTTACTTTTTCTTAAATAGACATTGATAGTATTTGGGTTGGAGGAGCCAGTTGTAGAACTCCTCAGTATTTTTGTCTTTAGCCTGTGAGTTTACAACTTACATGAAAGGACGAGAAAAATCCAACAGAAGCAACGAGAACCAAATGATATAATGATCTTTGTTTCTAAATTTTACTGTGTTACAGGGATGGAGCACCATCCATCCCGGCCCACAAGACCTCTGGGAAGCCGAGAAGAACAAGGTATTCCCATTTCAATATTACCAGACAAGCTGCCATGCAGCTACCACGTTTGTATTTCTCTTTTTTTTTAAAAGATAAATAAAAGCTAAAGCCACAAAGAAACCCAGCTCCCAAACCAAATCCATTTGAAAACTGTATTTTTGTCACCTTCACCATGGTTTATTTGACAAATCCCCAGTGGGAGTGGGGAGTGGACTCCAGAGATAAGGTCCTAGGTCTTTATGGTGAGGGGTATCCTCACTACTGAAGATTTTTCTCCACATGAACATCCCGTATTGTATGATTTTATTTTTTAAACAAAACTGATTTGCTTGGATACTTGCTCTGTCTTTCCTTCCCCCTACCCCACCTGCTATTTTTTCCTACATCTCAAGCAACACAGTCCCCATTCTTTTCTGAAATGGTGATGTCTCCCTCAGCATCTCTACTAAGGCGGCACACCAGCTTGTGAAGTCCTCAGCAGGTCAGGGGAAATACTGATTGCAGTAAATTGCAGACATCTACTGCTGGGTTCATGCCGGTGGAGACCAGAGACATGGAGGTCTCTGCTGAGAAGCTCTGTGACTGGGAGCTCGTAGACACTTTTGCCTGCTCCTTGCACCTTGGATGCTCTCTCGGTTCTGTGGAGCTTCTGAAGCACAGGCTGCAGGGATGGCTGCATCTGCAGGGAAGTCCAAGCCTTGGAAGCCACAGATTACAAGAGTCTTGGGTCCATCTGCAAATCCCTGTGCTCTTCAGGAGAACATGTTGGACTTGCCACCCCTGGAGCTGAACGATGCTTCAGGGTGAATCTGAAACTGGGAAAGTGGAAACACTAGGTTTGAAAGGAATTCAACATCTGGGTCCTGAAGAGGGACTTTGGGAGTGCCACACCTGGAAGAATGAGGTGACAGCAAGATGGCGATTGGAGAGGAGTCCATGTGTGCGCTGGCAGGTGTACCCCAGGGCCAGGCACAGAGCTGCTGCAGGAACAGTGAACTGTTGCTCACATGAAGGATTAAGTTGTTCCCATGTCTCTCCTCTAGCTGCCCGTAGGGAGAGAAAATGACATCTACAGCTGAGTCTGGCATCTAGAGGAGTCACTGCCTCGCAGGCATCCCCGAAAGCTACATCCAACAGCCGGGACTGGGCAGATGTCCTGCTTCGTTTCGAAGTGAGGAACAGCTCAGCTTCATAAACACCTGGTACCATGGGTCCTGTGATCAAGCAGCAACTGAACTTAAGGTAGTAGTCACCTCATCCTGCAGATGACTAGATGATCTTGAAGGTCCCTTCCAACCTAGATGATTCTATGCACACCTCGGTGAAGACCTGTGCATGAAGCTGCTGGGATGAATCAGCTTCCCCCTGCCCAGCCCTGCAGCCAGCAGCAGATCCATAGAAGTAACTTCTCCATCTGTCTCTATCGTTTATATCAGCGAGATTCAGCCAAATCACTGGCAAAAAGGCTGTCGCGATGACCTGTGGGATCTGCTCTCTTATAACCCTCCAGGTGTATCCGATTCTTCACCTCCAAGAACGTGGCTCTTGGTTTTGATGGGGTTGAGATTTGGAAGCTTATGGCTTTAGGTAGCCACTGTCTCCCCAGACCTCAGCAATGCTTTTCCCGGTGTCCAGCCGCTGGTGGCTGAGCAAGAGGATGTGCTTTTTGGACTAACACCCCGTCCCGGCAGTGGAGGTGGTTGATCTCAGAGCAACTATTCTTTGCACCTTTATCCTTGAGACCTCCTGCGTCTGCGCGTCAGGTCTTTGGCATTTCAGTCATTTTATAAAATCCCATTTGTTGAGGGTTTACCTTTCTCTTAGGCTTTTTCTGTTATTTAGTAGGTGTTTTATCTCTTCTAACGTGCCCCAAGGAGTTCTGGTGCATCTGTGCTGTTGAGGAATGGTTGGCATTAAGCGAAAATTTCTAGCCTTTTGATGATTGAGAAAACAGGAGGCGGGGGGGGGGGGAGAAATTTAAGCAGGATTTTCTGTTGGCCTGAAAAAGGGAAGAGAAGAAGCCGTGCCAGACGAGAGCCAGATGGACAAAAGCCACGACACAAATCCGGGCTCCGGCAGCAGCCGCTCACCTGGCTCCGAGGAGAGCTCTGCGTGGGCCTGGGGAGCCTCTGCCGCCCGTAAAACTTAAAGAGCAGCTTGAATAAAAATAACCTCTCGCTTTTTTTTGCGTAACAGCTTTCACATGGCAGGAGCCTGACGGGCAGCACACGGCACCGGGGAGAAGGAGTGGGGGGGGGGGACCAGCAGTGGAAACCAGCCCCAGGCCTTCGCGTGCTGGGGTGGAGCCGGGTTAATGGGATCACTGTCCGTACAGGACTCTTTTAGCATGTGTCTTAATTTCCTGTTTTTTAAGAAATAAGTTTTATACCCTCACTTGGATTATTTTTTTTTATTTTTTTTTCGCGCTTGGGCCCACTGATGGCCTGGGAAGCCTTTGCTGTGTGACAGCCAACTCTGTATTCCTGAGAACCATACCTGTGCCCCTGCTGCTTTTCTTTTAACATCACGTTAACCTGCTTCAAATTCAGCAGAGAGGTAAAGTGTTAGGATAAATGCCAATAAATAGCCGGCCTTTCGCATTACCGAATGCCTCGTTCAGTCCTCAGCAAAGAGCTGGGTAAGTTCAGGGAGTTGTCTCTCATGACCAGTGATGGAAGCTCCAGTTGCTTTGGGCTGTTCTTGGCCAAACTGGGCTAAAATGTACTGTGGGAAACAACGGTGCGTGGAGAAGTGTGTGATTTGGGGTATGTAACGTGGTGATTGAGGAGGAGATAGTTACCGGTGTAACTGTCTGCATAAAGCTACTTTCCAGGATTAGGGAAAGCGTGTGCGCTGGTTTCAAAGGGAGATCATTAATAGTAATATTGTCATTAGCATCTAATAAGTGTTTTTCATCTCTGCGCTGTTCAGACATTAACTCATCAGCATGTGACATGCTTCTGGCTACATCACTCCTACCGCGCAGGATTTGGGACAGGTCTCTCCTGTCTGTTGAGAAGTTGCCCAGAGACAAAGATGGGCTGATGGTTTGCACAGAGCCCCTGGGGCAGATCCCAGTTCCTGTCCCACGGTCACACCATCCTGCCACGGAGCCTCACGGCAACCCCCAGCATCACTGCTGGACCAGGGAACAAGGTGCATGACATGACCTCCAGGGGAATTCAGCACTAACAGGCTCAGAAGATGGTTGAACTCTGGACTTAAGCTTTAAACTGACCGATTTCTCTTTGCTTTAGGATTCCCTTAAGCTATTGCTTCACCCATCCGTTTCCCTCTCCTGCGGTGACTCGCCGTGTTGCTTCCTTTGCTTTTCACCATTTGTATTTAACCTTTTTGCTTCCAGGACTGCTCCCTCTGCAGAAGGGGGAGTTTTCCAGCAGGAATGGCCTGGGATGCTCGATGGCTTCCCCCAAAACCTCCTACCCCCTTGGACTATCCAACCCCAAGACCCACTGACCACACTGGTGGGAGAACCCACATCAGGTGTCTGTGTGATCCTACAGGTCTGAGGATGCTTTAGGTTTTCATGGCCAAGTAAAGCTCCGTGGAGCTTTCAGGGTCCCAGCTGAGCTCATGACACCGTGGCCAGGAGCTCTAGAGTGACACTGTCCTTTCTCTGTCCCACTTCCAGCCGTCCAGGAGGAGAGGCAGCGGGGGAAGGATCGCAACGAGAATGAGGTGGAGTCGACAAGTAGCGCCAACGAGGACATGCCCGTGGAAAAGATCTTGGAAGCTGAACTTGCAGTGGAGCCAAAGACAGAGACGTACATTGAAGCCAACATGGGCTTGACGCCGAGCTCGGTAAGGGACCTCATCGTGGTGACTCGGGGTGGAAGGGATGGCTTGTGGGGCCTCAGGATTAACCTGGTGTGAGTACAGCAGCGAGCCTAGGTCAGAGAGGGGTTCCCTTATGGGAAAAGAAATAAGTAGAGCTCAGAAATGCAACTTCTTAGCTCTGCTGTAGATGCCACGTGTGACCGTAGATGAAAGCATGAGGAAAGTAAACCCCCTCTGCCCCTGCACCACCACCAGCACTGGTAGTCATCTGTCTCACAGCCACAGCGAAGGAGAAGATACTGTAAGATGTCATTAGAAGGGCTCACAGAGAAGATTGTGTTTTAGTTAACAGCCCTTCGTGCTAAAAGGCAGGAAGACACTCCACGCTCTGAAGAGCTCAGAGTCCAATCAAGCCAATAAACAGAGCTGTGTGGCTGAAGTGCAAAGAGATAAGAGCTGTAAAATTGGGGTGTGACTTTTCAGATGCGGAATTACAGAGCTGCTTGGCTCTAAGCAGAGGAAACCTGGAGAAGTTTGCTTTCAAATTCCTTTCCCATTCAGAAGCTCGCATTATAACTGGGGCTGCTGGAAGCACCTGGGCTCTAACAGGACCTTGTGTAAATGGGAAAAAAGTGAGAAGCTGTGATGAGGGAAACTGTCTTGATGCCTTTCCTAAGAGATTCCCCTTATCAGCAGGTTGTGGCTTTGCTAAGAGAAAGCCTCCAAATGGGAGAACCAGCCTATCTTCTGAAATTCTGTTTCTAGGATAGACCCTACACCAAGCCCTCTTGAAGAGGGCAGAGAGGGTTCTTGTTGCCAGTCTAGGCAGCATTTAGGATGTGATCCCTGTTCCTCAATAGCCCCTCTTGCTGTGAAAATAATGGGAATAGGGAACAGGACTGCAGTCAAGGCAACTAATATAGCGGTAGGGTCAAGAGTGGGGCTAATTACCCTCCATCCCAGGTATGCTGGGGAAGCCCTGGATACTGTGGGACTGGGAAGTCTCAAAGCAAAGAGAGGGAGAGGCAAAAAAATAAATTGCTGTGCACCCTTGTGTGTGTGTTTTTGGGGCCGGGGTCAGCTGCACGTGTTTAATTTCCCATTTGCCTTTCGGTGATGCCTTCTGTCTTTGCTGGGGGGGACACCACTGCTGCCAGGTGTCACCTGGGGGTGTTGGGGGGTATAAATGACCCCAAGACCCTGCTAGTTGTTGCTGGGATTGCTGCTGGAGCGGGGAGCATCTCCGGGCTGCCCAGCAATCCTTTGGGGGGGCAGAGGGGTAGAGCTGGGGCTCTGCGAGCTGCAGGCTGGCTCAGCCAGGAGAGCAGGAACACACGCTGAAATATCCCTCTGCGTTTCCTCTTGCTCTCTGCTGGGTGTCTGTGAGGCTGAGATGATGAAATGCAGCTATTTCTGGGAAGTGGAAGGTCTCTGCAGTATTTATTTTCTGCTACAATCATACTTTATCTTTTTCTTCATATACAAGGCTGGAGGATTGAGCAGGGAATACCATATCTGGCAGGGCTTGACAAGAGATCTCAGAGTAGGAGTCTTAAGTCTTGACGGCCTCCATGGGATGCTCTTTTTGGCCTTTACCGACCAGGACACTTTATGGCTGGCTTGCTAAGTGGGGCTTTTTGATGCAGCAAGCTTCCTGCTAAGGATGGAGATGATTCCTAAGGGAAACTCTTCCAGAAACAGATCCAGGGCCATGGTTTGAGAGCCCACTTGCATCCTGTGGGCAGCGATGCCATCCAGCCCGAGGGTCCCATCGCCAGGAAGAGTCAAGGGGCTTTTTTTGGAGGAGGCAGCCCAGCCGTGGTTAGCGTGGGGCTTGGAGAGGCTCTGACGGTGATCAGGATTAAAAATACTTCGGGGGAGTTGCAGCCAGCGTTGTGCTGACTTGAAAACAAACCCCAGAGAGCGAGCTGAAATAAATGGCTTCGTCTGGCACTGCGTCTCCTCAGCCTCTCGTAGCAAATTGAAAGCTGGTTCCTGCATAATTCAACACGCATTACTGTGAACAAGGATGTGTGTTGCATCTAAATAGAAGCAGGAGGCTTGTTGAAATGCCCTTATTATTGTCAAGCGGCTTCTGTCGATGAGGTGACATTTGTAGCAGGTTTAGCAGATGTATGAGATCAGCAGCTCGCAGTGACGGAGGCCACCGGATGAGGATGAGGTGAGGGAAGACGGAGGAGCTGCCCTCCTCCTCCTCCTCCTCCTTCCAGCTCTCCCCAGAGAGCCCATGGGATGGAAAGGCAGACAAATTCAGTCCCGAACAGACGCGGGGTAAAAACACAAGCTGTTTCCTATTAGCCTGGTGTGTTGGGTCCTTTTATTTGTGCCCCTGCACCTTAGCCCATCTGCGCTGAACGCTGCTGGTGAGCTAGAGAGCTCCAGAGCTTGCGAGGACGTTTCCACCAGGCTGGAAGTGGTGGGATGCCGTAGGAGTTAACACCCTCCTCTCCCAGATGCTCTCGTGTCTGTGAGTGTCACCTCGTGCCATGGTCCTCTGGCTGCTCCGAGAGCAGAGATCCCAACCCTGGTTGAGGGAGATCCCTCTGCTTTGCTAGGCTGGCACTGATTTCTTCCACCTAGGACAGTGTGGGACCCAACAGTGGGGCTTCAGCACAGTCCTCGGAGCTGGTAAAAGGGGAGGGCAGGGGGGCTGCAGCCCGTGGGCTGTTCCAGCAGCCCTGGTGTCTCACCACGGTGGTGGTGGTGAAGCATGCTGCTCTGAGTGTGTGACCAAGGAAGGGACCCGTGGCTCTGTCCTGACACCTGGGTTGACACCAGAGAGGATGGGGTGTGTTCATGGTGTGAAACCCCGTGCTGGGGAAAGGGGAGAACAGTGGGGTGTGATCTTTGTGGGTGGCACGGACAGGACAGGGAAGGATGCAGAGCCAGGCAGAAAGCAGCTGAGACAGAGGGATGTGCCCCTGCCAAATCTGCTCTCCTGCCTTGGGTGGTAGGAGAGTGCCAAGACTAGTGTTTCGATGACCATCACTAAAACACTTACTTGAGGTAATGGCACCGGTGAGCCCCTCATAACTGCTCTTCAGCCACTGCAAATTGCTGCTAATTGTGACAATTGTGTGGCTTCTCACTCTGGCAGAGGGGATAAACTCTTCTGGAGGTTCCCACAAGCTGTGAATGAGCACGGCTGTGGGATTCTTCCACACTGGGTGTCCCAGGAAGTCCCCAAACCCCATGTGGTCCCTGTCCCTTGGGAGCTGGGTTCTGGCCGTATGCCCTCAGCAGGTACCTGTCCCCGGTCAGTACGATGGGACGTGAAGATGGGTTTGTCTCTGCCCCTTGTCCCTGGCAGCCGTGAAGCTGGGCTCCTGCAGCGTAAGCACCACCTCGGATGGGCTCCTGGCCACTGAAAGGCAAAGCCTGTAACTGAGAGGTGTCATCCCCATTAGCTCTTAATTGGCCTTTGAGCAGCTGGTTTCAAGTCACCATTTTCTGGAAGATGCCTCCAAGCTCTGGTTTTCCAGAAGGATCAGGTGCCCGCGTGTCCTTTCATTCTGTCACACTCCGGCACCGTGCCCTTGCTATTTACTGCAGGAGGGGATTTGCTTACCATGCACAGGGAGGGTTTCTAGCACCGCTTTGCAGATCCCCTCCTGGAGACGAGCAGGACCCTGTTGGCCCTGCGGGGATGATACTTTTAGCCGCCTTTCAAGAAAAGATGATTAAGTTCTGCCAGGAAGCACCGTGGTGGTTCCAGGAACTGCCATCTGAGGTGTAATTAAAGGCTGGGCCCCTCGCTGAGGCTTTTTATGGCGCACCGAAGGCTGGGTACAGCTTGTGCTGCCTGCAGAGCAGCGGTGAGACAGCCTGGGCTGGGAGACCTGGAGCCCGGCTTGCTGCATCAGGGTGAGTCCTAGAGAAGGTGGCAACCAGCCCAGAAGCAAACCCTGGTAAAAGCTATGGCAAAACCATCTAATTTTTCGGAAATCTCCCTTTCATAGGGCTGAGCAGGCACTTGGTGCTTCATGGGTCGGGTTCTGCTGGAGGATGGGGTCTCCTGTAAGTCGTGTCCCGTTTTGAGGTACATGGGGCTCCATCTGCATCCCGCCCTGGGGGAGCCAGGATGCCCAGGTTCTCCACCTGGCTGCTCCAGCTTGCTGGCCACACTCAGATGACTTGAAGTGGGTGATGTTCTTATAACCTGGGTCAAAGATGTCCCTTTTCACCCTCCCTGCAAATGCATCTGCCTCTGAGTGCTGATGTTCCTTGTGTTTCCAGTGAAACACTTAACCCTGCGAAGGTCCTCCTCGCACCCAGTTTAGGGTTTTCCTGTTGTCCAGAGAAAATCCCATCTTTTCTCCCTCTTTCAGGGTAAAGCCCAGCCCCTGCTCATGGCTCCTTCCCCAGGGAGAAGCCTCAGCTCCCCTGGAGCGAGATTCCCCTGCCCTTGCACCCCTCCAGGAGCTGCTGGAGATGGACAGAGCAAGGAGGGGAAAATCCCTGTAAGGATGCTCCTGGCTCCTCAGCTGCGCTGCTGAACGCGAGCCCATTCCCATCCATCTCTGCACACAACAGGTGAAAATACTTCGAAGGCGGGTGCCCTTGAGCTTGCCAGATGCTGGGTTATTTTAAGCCAGGAGAACGGGAGACGTTGGCCACCAAGGCACAGAGATTTGCATTTGCTGCCAGGGGACAGAGGGGAGGGGACAGGGTTCAGGGCACGGCTCCCGGGGGGGCAGGATTGAGACTCAGCAGCGTGGTCCTCATCTGGGAGAGGATTTTGCCATCCTGCAACCAGCTTGTGGTGAGGAATGGCCTTGTCCTGCTGGAAATGGGACTTGCTGGAGAAAGAGGTGGTGCTGGTGGTCGTGTCTGCTCTGCCTCGGCCGCGCGGAGTTCCCACCCCTTCCCCCTGCCATCCCGGGGTGAAGTAAACACTCCTCTTCCTCCGATTTGGAAACTGCTCTTTTAAGGACATGGAAGAAAAATAATTGTAGAATCAAAGCTGCTAGATCTCAGCAGGGATTAGGGTGGGAGGTGTGGAGGGGCTCATACATCCCTGTCCAGAGAGGTAAACCCTACATGCACACTTGCACTGGTGAGGTCTGTCTTCGCTGGGGTTAGACAGTCTCTTCCAGTTCCTAATCACAAGCCCACTTGAGCTGTTAGCAGTTCCTTTAAACAGGGATTTGGTGTGTTTAGGCTGACTGTCCTCCTTGAGAGCAGATGGTTTTTGTTACTGGATAATATTTCAAAGGAAAGGGTTTTTCTCTTTTTTTTTTTTTTTTTCCCTGTAATGCCCCCTCTGGTGCTGGTTTATCGAGCTGGGAGATGCTGGCACTGGGAGCGTGCGTGCTGCACGGGTGCAGGAGCCTCCTAGGCTGGAGCTCATTTAGTTCATCAGTCAGCGTGATGGATACTGGGTCTCAACACTCCTGGTTGCTGTTTTAGGAGCTCGCTAAAAGCTACTTTAAAACCATGTGGTGGAGAAGCCACGTCACCTCCTTTCCCTGTGACAGATAACCTCCACTTCTGGGGTGCTCCCGACTTCGGGGTCCTTCCCTGCAGCGGGAAGGCAGCAAGTCCCTTCAGCTGCTCCTCCTTTTCTTGCTCTGCCTTCTCCAAAACCGTTCAATCTCCTTTTCTTGGCAGCCCAATGACCCGGTGACGAACATATGCCAGGCAGCAGACAAACAGCTCTTCACCCTGGTGGAATGGGCCAAGAGGATCCCCCACTTCTCCGAGCTGCCCCTGGACGACCAGGTCATCTTGCTCAGAGCAGGTGAGTGGGAACCATCCCCGCCGGAGCCCTGGGAGTGAGTGTCACATCTCAAAGGTGACAAATATTACACTTAGATTTAGGTCCCGGCGACTTGAAAAGCCGTTAACTGATTCTGAGTAATAGCCTCTGATAATTCAATTGCTAAATAGGATTTTAAAAGCCCCAAGGGATGTGTTGCTGAATGGGATCCAAAATGTTGCACCAGCTGCCAATCAGCTGAAAAATGGCCCCGGCTTCATCTCTTGATGAGCTCGGAGATGTGCGCTGGGCCATTTAAACCAAGGGAGCTACACGCTGCCTTCCTCCCAAGCTGAGACTTGAGAAGACCAAGTGGGCTTGGGACTCCATGAAATTTCATCAAACTGAAACATTTGATCATAATTAAAACCAGAAAAGGGAGAAAAATATCTCGCCCTCCCTCTCCCACCCACCAAGATGAAAATAAAATTCTCTGGGCTTATTTTAAATTTCCTTGTGCGGCAGGGGGTCTGGAGGAACGGAGGCTTTAGGAGGTGAAAAGCAGTTAGCTGTGAAAAGGATCTTCTTCCATCGAGTAAATTCAAGCCCCTACTGCTGGCAGGTTATGCACAAAGACCAGGGAGGGCAAGAAATCAAGAGCAGAGCTCGACGAGGGTGCATTTTAGACATGAAGCTCTTTGCATAGCTCCAGTCATCAGAGAAGTGATTAAAAAGGCTTTGGCTTGGCGCAGCAGAGAGTTTTGCTCCTTTAGACAAAGAGGAAGGCGAGTTGTCAGTGGGACAGATGAAGTGGCTTCCAGCAAATGATAGACCTCAGGGTGAGACCTTGCTGTCTGGCGGTGGCACCCAGCTCTCTGCTTGGCAATGAGAAACACAGACCTTGGGTGCTCGAAGTAGTCAAGGGAATGCAGAAGGGAATGATGGAGGAGGCTGGTGCAGAGCAAAGGTGCTGAGCTACCAGGAGCAACCAGCCCAGATGCCAAACCCAAGCAAGCCAAGGACTCTGAAGTGCCTGGTAGTTTTAAAGTTCCCCTCCTTTCCCCAAAATGCACTTTTGTAGGGAATTCAAGAGGCAGAAACCCTGCGGGGATGTGTGCTCTTCTCTCTGCACTCTTCTGGCCTCTGCAGACAAGACACTGCTGATCCATCTTGATGACAGCATTCCTGGCTTCTTATTGTAGAGATTGTGTGCCCCAAAATAAATGCCCATGAAATTGGGCAGGAAAGTGCTTTAAGAACCAAGTGCAAAGTATTCACTTCAACACAAAATGTAGGAACTGCCAGAACTCCTCCAGCCCAAGGTCTGTCCAGGTTGCCTCAGGAGAAGGTGCAAGGGCTCCAGAGTAGGAAGCTGATGGGGTTGGTATTTCCCCCTTCCCACCACACAAACACTAGCTGTCGTTCTGTGTAATAAGGCTGACCATAGCCCAAAGGCGTGAATCTTAATACTTAGTGCATTTTTTTATTGGCTATCAACCAGTGTAACCTTCTACCTTGGCCCAACACACAAATAACCAGTCCCTCTTGCAACCTTTCTGAAATCTTTGACCTCAGTGGTTTCTGGGCGATTAAGTCACACCATTTACTGGTGTAGGTTTTCTCCTCTTCTTATATTACTGAAAGGAGATTTTTATAGTCACATTTCATCTCGAGGTTACAGCAGTAGCCTGGGAATGGAGAATTTGGGGGTTTTATTCTTGCTGCAGACTTGGCCAAGTCCCATGCTCCTCCTGGTCGGATCCTTCTGGCCCTTTGGTGAAGGTGCTCCTCTGATTTTTCCATGGGTTTGAATATCACCAGCGCTGGCTCACAGCCCTCTCTGGAAAATAGAAAAAGTCTATTTTTGAAGAGGGTCTCTAGAGCCTCTTGTGAGAGTGGATGAGCAGGGGAAGCATCTCTATAGAAATCTTTGAGGGCTTTCTGCAAATATCACAGGGAAGAACTGGATTCAGACAAAAAGCTGCCTTCTTTTGTGAAATGGAAACAAAACCCACAACAACAGTTCAAGGTTTTCCTTGCTCTTTAGAAGAAGGGTAATGAAAGCTGAACCGAAGACTTTCTGACCTAATGTTCCTTCCTTTGTGCTGGTGCTTGTTCTGACCAGCTCCGAGCTGGCATCCTGGAGGGGGCCACCCCATGGGGCAGGAGGAGAGGGGGCTGCAGACCCCATGGCATCCCAGATTTCGTGCTGGATCTAACCCCCACAGCCACGAGGTGGGCTGAGCACCTGGAGGAGCGGCTCCGATGGGCTCCCTGCTCCAGGCGTCCCTGTCGGGGCCTCAGATAACCTCCCCCAAGTCTTTTAACCAGTGGCTGCATCTATTATTGAGTGGGGAGAGTGGTCTGCTGAGAACAGCTGCCCATGAAATATTTAAGTATTAAAATTTAGCTGAGAGCGTCAGTCAGGTTCAGTCATGCGTCCTCGGAGGCGAAACTAAGTGGAGCACACATCTTTGGAGGAGCGGCGCTGGATGGGCCGGCAGTAGCTTTCCTCTAATCCTGAATCATTTAAAAATCTTCAGGCTTTCTGGAGGAGAGGGAAACTCAGCTTTTTAAGCCTGTTTTCCCTGGGTTTTCTTGTTTCCAAGCTCGCTACGGCTGAGACAGGAATAACCTGATGATTTCTCTGCGTCGAGGCCGGGCTGGCAGAGGATGCTGAGCGCTCCATCTCTGCAGCTGCAGGTCCTTTCAGAGGGCTGGTGGGGAAACTTGGTAGTGAGATGGATTAACAGGATGGTCACTTCTCTGCCAAGTGCCTTCCCTACCCCAGAGGAGCCAAAGCATCCCCAGAGCCGCCTTGTTTGATGAGAAAGGAATCGTGAGAGTCAAAGAAATCTGCTCTGCTTCTCCAGAGCTTGGGCTGAAATGCAGAACTCTTTGGGTAGACTTGTTTGATTTCTAACTCGGATTTGCTGCCTGTGTTTATACCTGAATTTTCCTGCTTCCCTCTTGGTCTTGTCAGCTCTTTGGGGATGAAAGCACCGAGTAGAAATAGGTTCCCCATTTCAGCCAAAAGATCCCAGCTCTAAATAGGAGTAATTCATCTGAAGGATGCTGATTAATCCAGTGCTTCTTAGCTGGAATAACCCCAGCATGGATGTTGGTGGCACCCTGCAGCCTCACCAATTCCATGTATTCTTGACAACCCAGAGGCTGGATTGGGCACTGTTGGGGCTGCGTGGAGCCGTGGCCAAGGGGTGTTGGGTGATGGCCGAGAGTCAGGACAGAGCTGTGAAAACTGGTTCCATGGAGGGACGTTGAGAAGCAGCTCTGGTTTCTGCTGGTTGGAGCTGCATGGAGGGGCTGCACGTGGAGATGCTGTGGGTCTGCGTGTGACAGCTGGCAGGAGGCACCCACAGCACCTTGCTGTGGGTCTGGCTCTGGGAGGTCCTCTTCAGCCATGGAGCAGGGTTCCTGCAGGCTCCTGGTGCAGTCCCATGTCTTCTCCTCCATCCTCCGTGGGTTTCAGAGTGTTGCAATCCCTCCATGAGTGCCAGACCTCGCCCAGTAAATAGCCAAATAAATGTTCCTGTGATTGGGGTGGAAACATCCTGTGGCCACTTAGGAAAGAGTGAACTTTATTCCTTGTCAACATTTCTAATGGCACAACCCACCTCTGCAGCAGTGGGTAAATACAGCACACGTGGACCTTGTATTTATTCGGATTGGTGTTTCTGTGGCAGGAGAGGAGGTGAAGGATATTGTTGTGATGCTTTTCCAGCCTGGGAAAGAAAAATAAAATCAAATGTCCTGCTGTTTCTGGACCCTGCCAAGCAGGCCTGCGTTCTGGACACCAGAACATTTTTGGGCTGGGTAAATCATTCAGATGAGCGTGAGACTCCCCAGGGCTGCAGAAGACCTGTCTTGTCTTATTGGAGACGCCTTTCCTGGCTCAAAGTCACCAAAATTTCCCCCCTTCAAACTTTACGGCATTTCTTCTTGTTACGGGTTTGTTTCGGGCATTCTTGAGCTCGGTGGCAGATTTAAGAAGTTACAGACGTGTTAAATTCGGAAGGGGAGCTGGAAGGTGGGGAAGGAGGTGGCATCTCCCTACCCTTCCCCATCTGTAATTAGCTCATACTGCTCCCGTGGTGTTGGGGCTCAGAGGATGTGTTTTTCTGTCTCCTGAAGGAGCATGTCCAGTAGCTAATGAGACAAAAGCTGATTTCTAGGCAGCTACAGAAGAGTGTTAGTGGAGCAGTCACGGATGGGACATCCCTGAGGAGAAGCCATCCCTTCCAGTATTTATACAGCAGAAGCAACAAACCTGCAAGGGAGAGTTTTCATGGGCCCCATTTACAGCTGGAAAAGGGTGAATGAACTTTTGTGCCCCATTACGGCCTGAAAATGAGCCCAATTAGCCGATGTAAAGCGTTAATAGGTCTTTAACTGCTCAGAGGCAGGGACTATAAGGTCAGAGAGGGAATGCAGGGCTCCACACCCTCTGGCAGGTTGATGGCAGAGGATGGGGGAGAGCAGATTGCTCTGGTGCCTGCAAGGTTTATAGGGGAAACTGCTTCCCTTATTAGCGTTATATTTTTAGTACATTTGTTCCTTAATGATTTTTTCCCTTCCCTGACATCCAAGAATGGGGCTGGCTCCCCCCTCCCTTCCTGTGTCCAACCATGTTACTCCAGCAAAGAAGGTTCTTGAGCAGTTTCCTCCTCTCTCTTTAGCACCAGGGAGGTGATGGTGCTGATTTCCCGAACCCACTGAGGGTCCCGTGGCTCTAACCTGCAGCCTTGGTTGTTTTCTCCTCCCCAGGGTGGAACGAGCTCCTAATTGCCTCCTTCTCCCACCGCTCCATAGCTGTGAAAGACGGGATCCTCTTAGCCACCGGGCTCCACGTGCACCGGAACAGCGCGCACAGTGCTGGCGTCGGGGCCATCTTCGACAGGTGGGGAGAGGGAGGAGGGATGGATGGATAGATGGATGGATGGATGGACGAACAGATGCTGGGGAGCACATCTCAGGCCACCTTGGCCAGACATCCCCTTCTCTGTCTCTGTTCCCTGCGGTGCAACCTGCTTGAGGGGGCAGATGGAGATGTGGTGGCACCTGGGCTCGTGGTCAGAGGAGCCTGGGCTGCGGCGTGTCCATCCCATGGATGGAGACGTCGTGGTCCTTGCTGCAGGCAACAACATTAAATTCCTCCTCTCAAACCTGCACAAACCAACAGCCCCAAATATTGGGAGGGAGAAGGCTGCCCAGTGTGAATCAAAGCCTCCTTCATGGGGTCCAGATGCCTTCTAATGTTACGAGGAGGCCACTCCTTTATTTCTTTTCATCTTTAATTGGACCAAGACGTGATTTTATTTTCACAGTGAAAAAGCACCAAAAATACCCAGCAGGTTCCACATGCGGATCCCGAGGGCTCTTTAATCTCGTGCTTTGGGAAAATGTTTTAAAGCCAGACTTCCAGGGTGTGTGACCCACAGTGTGGCTCCAGACGCCGCTTAAGTGGTGGCTGATTTCTCTGCCCGAGACTCATCTCGAGGCGACTTAGTTGCAGCCAAATCACTTTTGCTTCTTTGCTTTGCGAGGAAATTGTGCTTCGGCCCTGGGTGACATCATTTGTTTCCTGTGAGGTCATAAGTGCAAGATCATGACTTCACTGCAGGATCTAACAGGAAAAACTGGGCAATCAATGGAAAGTATTTCAAGACCGGCACCTGCAGCAAGAGCAAAGGGAGTAATAAAAATTACCGGCAGAGGAAATTGCTTTTAGATACCTGTTGGGGTTTTTTTTATATTATTATTTTTTATTTTTAGGCAGCTTTCTCAGGTGCCAAAGCCAGTTTTTATCGTCTCTGTTGTACCTCACAGGAACTATTGATGTTCCTAATGAGCTATTTTTGATACAGGAGGAAAATGAGGGCATATCCTCAGCTGGTGTAAGTGAGTACTATCCCATGACTCTGACACCTGGGTGTTTTTTTCATTTCTTTTCAACGCTGACGCCTGTGATTTCTGTGTCCTTTGCAGAGTACTGACAGAACTCGTGTCAAAAATGCGAGACATGCAGATGGACAAGACAGAGCTAGGCTGCCTGCGAGCCATTGTCCTCTTCAACCCCGGTACGTGCTGTTACCTTCTCTCCTGTCCTCTCATGGCTGATGCTGCATCCTTTTTGGCTCCTTTTCATACCCACAAAGCTCCATTGCAAATAGCCGAGGGCACCCAACTCTTGAGGATGTGGCAAGAAGGAAGAGACAAGAATGAAAGTCAAATGAAGTGCTACCTGTGCATCTGCCACCTTAGAAGCATGTCCATCCTTAGAAGGATGGATCTGGATCCAAGCCCAGGGTGTTTTCCCCTTTGCAGGGGTGTTTTCCCCTTTGCAGAAGGCAACACAGTTTTATGGTCCAAAATATTCTCCAGGCAGGGCCCAGCCTTGGCCGGGACTTGGCTGTGATCGTCCGAGGAGGTGGCGATGCTGCTTTTGGATGGGCTGAGTTTTCTGCTGGGCTTGAGGGGCTTTGGCTTGATCAACATTACACAGTCCTCCTGTTTCCAGTTTTACAGCAGCTCTGTAGAAAGGAAGTTCTGCTGCTTGGGGGAGTTGTCCCTGAGTAGGAGCAAAAATGAATCTCGATATCCTTCGAGACAAAAGTATGGATTAGAGCAAAGTTAGAGCATGGACGTTATTGCCCTCTCTTTCCTGCTCTCAACATCCAAGGGCGTTTATTGACTGCATTTCTGGAAAATCCCGTTGCAGAGCCTGCCGAGGGTGAAAGGCATGAAACGTGCTCATAAAATACACAAGAACTTTCTTTTTCGTCCGCAGCTTGCTTAGTTTTACAGACTCCAGGAGGCTGCTCGCTTTTCCCTCTTGGCCCCAGCTGCCCAAGAGAAGAAGAAGAAGAAGGTTGAAGGCCAGGGGTTGTCTCTGGTGTTTTGGGGAGCAAAGTCCCCACTGCCACGGGCGATGGGCTGCCAGCCTGCACATACAGCTCTGGTGGGGGGGTTCCCTCAATTTTAGAGGGGTTCAATCCAGAGCAAAAGCAGATGGGATCTGAGGACAGACCTCCACATCTGCAGCCACCCTTTCCCCTCCCTGCCCTCCCAGGAGCATGCTTTGTGCCCAGGCACAGCTCTTTCGCTGGCCTTTCCCACCGAACCCAGGCCAGGGCATTTCAGCAGGGTTTATTGCTGTTTCTTGGGTTTGTTTTTCTGCTTGACTTTTTTTTTTTGTGTGTGTCTTTATTTTTTTTTTCCCCCTTGTAATCACCAGTAATTTATTGTCTGTAATTTGGGATTAGCCGTATATGGTAAAAGAAGGGGAATCTGGAGAGGTTCCCGTGGTGCTTGTGCTTGGGGATATCGATTGCTTGACTGTCCCTTTCACCCGACTAAAAACAGATTCTTGCTGCTTCGTGGGGGGACCTGCCAGAGTGGGGGCTTCTTGTTCAGCCCTGCCACGGTGCTTCGTGCTGGAGGGAGAAGGTCCACAAGCCCAGGACTTGAGGGGGACTTAAACCCTCTCCATGAGGGTCTGTGACCACTGGAATAAACCAAAACGGTTGGGGATGGGGTATGAGGTGGAGTAAACCAGATTTGTAGTTACAGGACAAACCTTTCAGGGTTTAAACACTCCCCAGGAGGTGTTAGATGCCCCCAAATTCCTGGGGTTCAGACCCCGCATCCACACTGGGCCCTCATCTGGTGGTGCCGGGAGGGATGGAGAGGTCCGGGGGGGTGACCAGGGGGGCTCCTTGCCTACTTGGAAAGCCTGGAGGTTTTTTTGGCTGATGGTCCTTCCATTGCCTTCCAGACTCGAAAGGTCTCTCCAACCCGGCTGAGGTGGAGGCGTTACGGGAGAAGGTGTACGCGTCGCTAGAGGCATACTGCAAACACAAATACCCCGACCAGCCCGGGAGGTGAGTTGCTGGCCGTGTCCTGTGTCCCCCCCACAGCCTTGTACCCCTGTAAATCCCCCTGCAAAGGGTCCTGCAGCTCTCAGCGGGGTGTGAGTGCCCTCCTTGGGGTCACTGCAGCTCGTGGGTGGCTGGGTCCTTCCCATTTCGGGCTCTCTCTTCCCGTTGTCCTTTGGCAGCGAGCAGTTGTCTGTAGAGAAAACCACTCATTTCTACCTTCTTCAGCCACGAGTGTCCTTAGCAAAGCCCTTCCCTGTGAAGTGCAAAGTGGTCTTTATTCCCCAGCAGCCAGGACAAGGTCGGGCAGTCCCGGTGCTGCCCAGACCCGAGGAGCCCCGGCTCCTGCGGCCGCGGGACGAGCACGTGGAGGGGGAAGGGGTATCGTTTCCCTTTTGGCAACCACGGAGAGCAAACCACAGCGAAAATAAGACGCACACGGAGTTAATTTTCAGTGGCAGATGAGCATCATTGCCGGGAAGTGAAAGCCTCAATTGATGCTCTTTTTCTTCCCTCCCCACCTCCCCCAATCCAGCTGGGAATGGGAGGGGGAATTAGGAATGCTTTCCTGGACCGCTCTGGAGCTGAGTGGGCGCATTTTCCCAGTTACAGCCTGAAGTTGGCAACTGCCAGTTAAGTTACTGACAGTCATTTGAGAAACCAAGCAAAAAGCACTGGAAAGTGCTGGTGGTGCGTATCGCTGCTGAACCGTGAATATTGGGAAAAACAGCCCAGGCAACTGGGATTTGCATCTCACCTGCATTCCCGGTCTTGCGTGTCTGGATGGTTGAAGGGGAAAAAAAAAAAAAGGGATGCTCTTAAAGCAATGAATGCAGTGGGCAGATCACGCCCTTGGAAGCAATCTTGGACTTTTTTTTTCCCCCCGTTTGGGTGTCGATGTGCTGGCAAATGAAAAAAGACACGTTGTAAAGAGGCTTCTTGGATGTTCCTGGTTGGCTTGTGGCGGGGCGTTAGGATGAAGGTACCGTTGGGTGTGTGGGACTTCGTGGTGAGGAGGGAAGTGAGGGATGCGCAGAGCAGGGGTGGTTACCTCCCCTCCTCAGGGTGGTTTGTTTGGACCCCAGGCTCCAAGAAGAGTTATTAAATCACAGTTCCAAAGGGAAGCCAGACCCAGACCCTGGACTGTGGCTGTTGTGGTGTTTCGGAAGAGCTCTGCCTCCCCTGGGACTCACGGGGAGCAGCCAGCTGTACCTGGCACAAGGATTGCTGCCTTGGGAATGCTGCCCAGCTCTTCTCCTGGGTTATTCCCCTGGTGGGATGAACTCTTTGCTTCCCACAAAGCGTCCAGTGTCCGCAGCCAAGGCTGGGACAGGGCTGGGCAGGGGGCTGCCATGGGGACAGCCCCTCTCTTCATCGACCGCAACACCGCTGTGCATGACTGAGCAGGGTCACTGAGCCACCAGCCAAAATCAGTTCCCCAGGGCTCTACCTCCATCATCAGCCACGTGTAAAGGAGCGTTTTAGGTCCCGGAGCTGCAGCGAGGGCTCTGGAGTTTGATCTCTCACTGGCTTTGAATGACATTGGGCTGGAGACCTCTTTGTGTGATCCTCACACCCTTCTTGGGTGACCTTAAAGGTTTTTGCACGCTTAGGGCTGTCCTGAGAGGCGTTACTGAGCATTGCTGGCCTTGCTGCCCCTCTCGTAGGGTGCAGGGCGATGGTGGAATAAGCCCAGGTGGCTCGGGAGGGTTAACTCGTGGGCCGGGAGTCCGGAGTTGCACAAGAGCTAAATGAAGCTCTCAAGAGCTCTCTCTCTCTCTCCATCCTCCTGGTCTCATGGCACAATGTGATCATCATCTGGGGCTGGAAACAAGTTCTTCCTGTGGTTGTTGAGCAAACGCCCGGTCGCGCCGGCGGCGGGTGCCCTCCCCTGCTCCAGGCTGTGGCGAGCCCTTGGCTTCCCCACCACTGCGGATGCCCTTGGGTGCCGTGACTTCAGCCCCGTCCCCAGCCATCGAGAGCTCTCGAGCACCATCTGAACACCAAAAGGGAACTTCTCTGCCACAGCGGGTCGGAGGGAGGCATTCCTAGGAAAAACCCAGCTCTTCTCCCCCGACACCAGCCCCGGCTCCTCGGCAGGGAGGGCACAGTGTGTACGTGACACCGAGCAGCCGCAGGGAATCGGGGCTATTTTCTTCCCCCCCCTCCCCTTCTCCTCCACCCCCGCCAGCCACGGCGCTGGCATGTTGTGCTGCGGGCTGGTTATCTCACAGTTAAACGTATCCGAGGGCTGGAGCCATCATCTGGTTTGGTTTAAAGTGAAACTTCCTGAATGGGATGGTAGGACTGATTTGTTTTTCCTGGCTCTGCTCCCACCGTTCTCGCCAGCTCAGCAAAAAAAAAAAAAAAAAAAAAAAAAAAAAAATCCTCCGATTTGGAAACTGCTCTTTTAAGGACATGGAAGAAAAATAATTGTAGAATCAAAGCTGCTAGATCTCAGCAGGGATTAGGGTGGGAGGTGTGGAGGGGCTCATACATCCCTGTCCAGAGAGGTAAACCCTACATGCACACTTGCACTGGTGAGGTCTGTCTTCGCTGGGGTTAGACAGTCTCTTCCAGTTCCTAATCACAAGCCCACTTGAGCTGTTAGCAGTTCCTTTAAACAGGGATTTGGTGTGTTTAGGCTGACTGTCCTCCTTGAGAGCAGATGGTTTTTGTTACTGGATAATATTTCAAAGGAAAGGGTTTTTCTCTTTTTTTTTTTTTTTTCCCCTGTAATGCCCCCTCTGGTGCTGGTTTATCGAGCTGGGAGATGCTGGCACTGGGAGCGTGCGTGCTGCACGGGTGCAGGAGCCTCCTAGGCTGGACCTCATTCAGTTCATCAGTCAGCGTGATGGATACTGGGTCTCAACACTCCTGGTTGCTGTTTTAGGAGCTCGCTAAAAGCTACTTTAAAACCATGTGGTGGAGAAGCCACGTCACCTCCTTTCCCTGTGACAGATAACCTCCACTTCTGGGGTGCTCCCGACTTCGGGGTCCTTCCCTGCAGCGGGAAGGCAGCAAGTCCCTTCAGCTGCTCCTCCTTTTCTTGCTCTGCCTTCTCCAAAACCGTTCAATCTCCTTTTCTTGGCAGCCCAATGACCCGGTGACGAACATATGCCAGGCAGCAGACAAACAGCTCTTCACCCTGGTGGAATGGGCCAAGAGGATCCCCCACTTCTCCGAGCTGCCCCTGGACGACCAGGTCATCTTGCTCAGAGCAGGTGAGTGGGAACCATCCCCGCCGGAGCCCTGGGAGTGAGTGTCACATCTCAAAGGTGACAAATATTACACTTAGATTTAGGTCCCGGCGACTTGAAAAGCCGTTAACTGATTCTGAGTAATAGCCTCTGATAATTCAATTGCTAAATAGGATTTTAAAAGCCCCAAGGGATGTGTTGCTGAATGGGATCCAAAATGTTGCACCAGCTGCCAATCAGCTGAAAAATGGCCCCGGCTTCATCTCTTGATGAGCTCGGAGATGTGCGCTGGGCCATTTAAACCAAGGGAGCTACACGCTGCCTTCCTCCCAAGCTGAGACTTGAGAAGACCAAGTGGGCTTGGGACTCCATGAAATTTCATCAAACTGAAACATTTGATCATAATTAAAACCAGAAAAGGGAGAAAAATATCTCGCCCTCCCTCTCCCACCCACCAAGATGAAAATAAAATTCTCTGGGCTTATTTTAAATTTCCTTGTGCGGCAGGGGGTCTGGAGGAACGGAGGCTTTAGGAGGTGAAAAGCAGTTAGCTGTGAAAAGGATCTTCTTCCATCGAGTAAATTCAAGCCCCTACTGCTGGCAGGTTATGCACAAAGACCAGGGAGGGCAAGAAATCAAGAGCAGAGCTCGACGAGGGTGCATTTTAGACATGAAGCTCTTTGCATAGCTCCAGTCATCAGAGAAGTGATTAAAAAGGCTTTGGCTTGGCGCAGCAGAGAGTTTTGCTCCTTTAGACAAAGAGGAAGGCGAGTTGTCAGTGGGACAGATGAAGTGGCTTCCAGCAAATGATAGACCTCAGGGTGAGACCTTGCTGTCTGGCGGTGGCACCCAGCTCTCTGCTTGGCAATGAGAAACACAGACCTTGGGTGCTCGAAGTAGTCAAGGGAATGCAGAAGGGAATGATGGAGGAGGCTGGTGCAGAGCAAAGGTGCTGAGCTACCAGGAGCAACCAGCCCAGATGCCAAACCCAAGCAAGCCAAGGACTCTGAAGTCCCTGGTAGTTTTAAAGTTCCCCTCCTTTCCCCAAAATGCACTTTTGTAGGGAATTCAAGAGGCAGAAACCCTGCGGGGATGTGTGCTCTTCTCTCTGCACTCTTCTGGCCTCTGCAGACAAGACACTGCTGATCCATCTTGATGACAGCATTCCTGGCTTCTTATTGTAGAGATTGTGTGCCCCAAAATAAATGCCCATGAAATTGGGCAGGAAAGTGCTTTAAGAACCAAGTGCAAAGTATTCACTTCAACACAAAATGTAGGAACTGCCAGAACTCCTCCAGCCCAAGGTCTGTCCAGGTTGCCTCAGGAGAAGGTGCAAGGGCTCCAGAGTAGGAAGCTGATGGGGTTGGTATTTCCCCCTTCCCACCACACAAACACTAGCTGTCGTTCTGTGTAATAAGGCTGACCATAGCCCAAAGGCGTGAATCTTAATACTTAGTGCATTTTTTTATTGGCTATCAACCAGTGTAACCTTCTACCTTGGCCCAACACACAAATAACCAGTCCCTCTTGCAACCTTTCTGAAATCTTTGACCTCAGTGGTTTCTGGGCGATTAAGTCACACCATTTACTGGTGTAGGTTTTCTCCTCTTCTTATATTACTGAAAGGAGATTTTTATAGTCACATTTCATCTCGAGGTTACAGCAGTAGCCTGGGAATGGAGAATTTGGGGGTTTTATTCTTGCTGCAGACTTGGCCAAGTCCCATGCTCCTCCTGGTCGGATCCTTCTGGCCCTTTGGTGAAGGTGCTCCTCTGATTTTTCCATGGGTTTGAATATCACCAGCGC